TTTCCCACCCCTCACCCCCCCCACCTCCCATCTCCTCTTTTGCAGCGTTGTCCCGATGGGAACGACGGCCAAGGAGGAGATGACGCGCTTCTGGGAGAAGAACACCAAGTCCAATCGTCCCTTGTCCCCTCACGTCACCATTTACAAGTAAGAGCCTCTTGGCTTCCTCAGCTTGGTGCTGGGGCGCCTCTGGGCTCTGGCGCACGACAGCCCCGTCCCTGGGGGCACCCTTGGGTGGGAGGACGGAGGGACCCTCTACACTGAGCGAGGGGGGGGGAACGCAGCCTCCCCCACCGAGCTGGTGGCACTCGCTGTTGTCCTACAGGCTGTCACGGAGGGGTAGAGTCGTGTGTGTGTCCCCCCCCGCCTTGGGGGCCACCTCCATCCCTTTTCCAGGTGCTCTCGTTTATCCCAACCCTGCCCCTTCATTCCGGGCTCTGGAGTTCCCTCCTCAGAGAGGTGACAGCTCCTTGGGGGCCACCTCCGTCCCTTTTCCAGGTGCTCTCGTTTATCCCAACCCTGCCCCTTCATTCCTGAGCTGCAGGAACCTTTCAGCCTTCCCCTGTGCCATCTCCCTTTTAAGCTTTCTCAGCAGACGCCCTTCCCAAACCCATGCCAGTGGCATTTGCCATTCCCAAGCTGCCTCTGCAAATTCCCCCCCCCCTGGCTTTCCCCTTTTGCTCCGGCTGGATTCCTTGAATACCTCCAGAAATACCCGCCCAGCAGCACGGAGCTGTCTAGGAAGAGCCGGGCTGTGCTTTGGCCCGGGTGTCGTGCCCTGTTTTGCTGACGAGGTTGGTTGTTTTTGCAGGTGGTCCCTGCCCATGGCGATGTCCATCACGCACCGGGGCACCGGCGTCGCGCTCAGCTTAGGTGCGTGCGTCTCCCACCTGCTCGTGGCGACGGAGGGCGGGGGCTGCGGGAGGGAAGACCCCTCCGACTGATTCGGAGACATCACTCGGGGCAAATGGTTTTCTCCCCTCTGCCCCCAGCTCCAGCCACGCTTTTTCTCCCTGTCTGCTGCCTTTCTCCATCCCCCGAATTTCACCCCACCCCCATTTCTCTGCCCCCATGTCCTCTTGTGCTGCGAGTGGCTCCAGTCCTGCAAAGGCAGCGATGCTCCCCCATGCCTAAAAAAGCCTTCGAAGCCTTTGCAGCCCTTGGCTTGGCCTGGCTGCTTTCTTCTGGGCCTTGCCCAGCCTGGAAAAGGCCGATCGGCTCCTCTTGTTCTCAGCCCTTCTCTTCCGTGGCTGTTTTTTACTGGTTTATCCTTACAGGAGGCCCTGTGTGAGGGAGAGGCTGGCAGGCAGGCAGAGCTCAGAGGATTTTCCGTAGCACAGGTGGAGTTTTTCAGCTCTCTGGGAGGGGCTGCTGCGTTCCCAGAGATCCCAGTGGGGAAGAAGGTGGTACCAGCATCAAAACTGATAAATGCCCTCCAGCAATTTGGCTGAGCAATAGGACCTCTGACTGCGAAAGGCTGTTTTATTTCCACTAATGCCCTCTCACAGCAACAGGAAGGTGCTTTGCTGGTAGCTCCCTTGTTGAAAGGGGGGGTGGAGAGCTGGGTTGGTGTTGGCAGAAGGGCAGAGAGTGAACGATTCTGTGAAGAGAAAAGACGTGCAGGACTGCGGGCTGGCATTCCTCGCTCGGCAGAGCGAGAGGGAGCGGCGAGGGCTCCAGCCTGCCCTTCCCAGCCTGGCCTCCCGTGAGGGTTGGGGAGCTGGGCTGCTAGAAAAGGCCACGCACGTGCCCTCCTGCTCCCCTGTCCCCCCCGGCAGGGCCCTGGCGAGGGCTCAGCTCTGCCCCCCCCCAGGCTCTGCTCTTCCTGGGACCTCAGGAGTCACCTTGCCTCCCTGCCTGGCAAAGAGCAGCACGTGTCCTCTGCAGGCAAGGTGACTTTGCCTGGGTGCCCCCCGTGAGCCCAGCTGGGTGGCGGCGTGCCTCGCTCTGCGCGCGGATCCAGGGCGCTGCGCCGCAGCCGTGACCCCGCTTCGGGATCGGCTCTCCGGGAGCTCGGGATGTGCCTGGCTCCCTTGGGGCAGCGGTCGCCGTCCGGCTTGCTGTCAGATGGGCCGAGCTGGCAGGTTCCCTGTTGCTTTTCCACTCTGATCCATCAGCCTCCGCTGGAGGGGAGATCATCCCCTCCCTGGGCTGATGGAGCACGAAGGCACATCGCTGCCGAGTGCAGCTCAGCAGCCAGGAGAAGGAGGGGGAAGCGTTCGGCTCCTCTCTGTCAAGGCCTGTAATTAGAGGAGCCTCTGACTTCCTGCGCTCCCGAACACAAAGGCCATTGAGAAGACGAGTGGCTGAGCGAGGAAGCAGCTGGTTGACTTGCTCTTGCCGGCGCCGGCCTCGGCCTCGGCGCTCGAGCGAGCGTGCCGCGGCGTAATCAGGCGCTATTGAGCCGAGGGTGAACCGCCCCTTGGCTGACTGCTGGCTGCCATCCTTCCCCTTCTTTCGGCAGCACCATCTGGAGGAACCCTCTTGGCCTAGAAACGAGGAGGAGAAGCTGCTGC